CGCTACATTTCGGCCCCCTCGGAGTGCTCAATGAACGCGGCGTTAAAGCTGGTCGTGGGGACACGAGACGTCCAAAAATATATGCGTGGTGCGAATCTGCGATGCACGAAATGATAAACTCTGTTCAACCCGGAAGCGAGGAACCCCCCATGTTGCTAGTTCGATCTGGGAGGGCGATACCAGATATTGGGATGTCCATAAACGTACTGGGCCTATGCCCTTATTGTCTGGCCCCAATGATCATTATGAGATCGATGACGACAAAAGACAGGTTAGATAGGCGTGCTGAGCGGCAGGCGCTGGACAAAATAACTTGATGCGTCTGCTTTCCTTCTTCAACAGGTACGCAAGTAAGAAGAGAACCGACCGGGATATATAGGCATGTATAAACGCGCCCGCAGGAAGGCGGAAGGTGCTGTGCCAGTGAGAGGAGTTCTCTTTCAACGCAGAGGCGCGGGTACGCCACACGTGGGGCCACCTTAAATAAATCTCTGCGGCACTTGTCCGGGGCTCGGCGCATCACAACGGCGTCCCAAGGACAGCTTGAGATGCCATCATCCTCGAGGACACAACGAGCCAGCCATCCCGAATGAGAGCGTTCGGCTCAGCCAAGGCTACTGCGGCGCGGATTGTCAGAACACCTGAGAACGACGATCCTGCTCAATGCGCGACCTTGTTTGAAATTATTGACGCTGTCGATAAATTGCACAGACAGAAAAACAACTCACAGCGTTCTCGCGGTGCTGTGTTGTCGGGCTCAGGCGCCCGTAGTGGATTGTCCGCGCAGGACGAGTCAGTCCGTCCGTGAAAAATCGGCACCGGGTCTGTATTTTTAACGAGGCGTCCATAACATTGCGGCAGTACACAGCGCGTGTAGGACGCGAGGCTGACGGCGTCCGATCAGATACAAATGTCGTTGACTCGAGCCAGGCTAGTAGGAGCACGGCAAGGCGGTAGTCCATTCCGCGGACGGCGTTCGTATACACTGGAAGCATTTATTTTGGCAATCTAGACATATGGTCATCACAAAGGCCGATGAAAGAGTGGCCGCGAGGAGCATCTGACTGACTGATGGCGACTGGTTGTATTTTGGGGGTAAAGTGCGGGCTGAACATCGGCTTCGACGGATGTTCGGACTTTGACGGGAGCACGTCCCCGCGATGGGTACCAAACAATGAAGGTGACCCTTCGCGCCTCGGTTTGAGGTGGGTTGAGCGGGATGTAGAGAATGGAGGTTAGGATGAAAGGTGCGATGCGTGGGACGCCGCGAGTCGGAGCGGGCGTCTGTTTCAACGCGGCGACTTCAGCTTTTTCCGCGACGCCGTGGACAACAATCCGCCCTACAACAACACTCGTCCTTCGCGCCTTGTTCCGATCGAAGCCGTTGAGTTAACGGTATAACCAGTATATAAATACTCAAACCTACGGGTGCAGAGCCCACTCTTTCGTGATCCACAGCCGCTTTTTCAAAATTCTTTCTATGCGAGCCGCTTTGAACTCTCGAACGACAGCGGCATCACCTGCTTCGCTATCCCAGGCCTAGTAGCTGTACCCAATGAATCGACATGTCATTTTTAAATCAATTCCACACAGTACGTGACATTAGCGCATTGTCGGACCTCGGTTTCCGCTAATCTTACGCCGGTGGGGGTAGACAGACCACCAGGCGTCTCGTCAACGGCTCAATTCGGGCACACTCATGCCTACATGGGGACAATAGGTTCAGGCCGTTCCCATGTAACGAAGTAATGTATTCCACTGACAGAGCTGAACGACATATAGGTTCTTTGCTACCTGGCGCCAACGTCTGTCTTGTCGGCCAGTGCCACCACAGCGGCGTCTGACATACTTGCGGCAAGGCGCCAGACCGTTCGGCAGGTGTGATTAGTTTCCCGTAGCCAGTCTTAAACAGGAGACAATCGATCTGATACAATCCCCCCTTCTTAGAACGCTGCCGTGGAAAGCATGCCGTTCTACAGAGATAGGCTTTTGTGGTGTCCGGGATTCGGAATTGTGCCGTCCGTGCTATCCTTCCCGTGGGCCTCGACATGTTCCCCGTCAGCCAACTCCCACCGTACCCAGAGTACCCCTGACCGCGGCCACGGTCAGCAGTCCCCAGGCAGCCCGAAGGAAACCTCCATCGTTGCACGGTGCGGGAGAAGCCCGGTGCCCGGCGAAGTTTCCGCGTCTTCCCCGCCAGCGTCTGTCACTTTCGGGAGGGGGCGAATTGCGGGAACGTCATCATTCAAGAGGTCAGTGACCGCGCTGTCACGTTCATCCTTCTCAAGAACGTCCATGTTCAACCGCCAGGAGTCGTTCCGCTTCCGTTCAATCATCAACGCCGCCCCCGCCATAATGTTTGCACTCACCGTCGTCAACCTCTTCTTCACGGCCGCGATTCCTCTCCTTGTGCTTTCCCTCTCGTTCGCATTCGATCTGTCCTTGCCTCGAATCGTTTTGATCGTCCTCAACGACTTGGAACGTCAAGGATTCTCTTTTCAGACATGCAAGCTTGTCCGTTCCGTTCCGTTTGATACCGGTTGACCATCGCTGACGATCAGCGTGCTCTTCCGACCCGGACGATTTATTCTGCAGCTCTCAGCATAGGCATGCGTTCGAACACAGCGATCACTGGCCCGCCGTCCACTCTCCCGCTTGGACAGTGTCAAGCTATCCATCCATTCCTACAAACATTTGGAGTCTAAACACGCCCCCCGCCACAACATTCAGCTACCCTGACCGCCGGAGGCCTTTCGCCACTGACTAGGCGGTTCCCCAGAACCTGGAGAGCCGGTCAGAATCGTCGCCGAGGCAGGGGAAATACCACAGTAAACGAAAGTTCGCATGTATCGTTAGCTGAACTCGCCCACGGCTGGATCTCAGGCGGTAAACAACTCGACTGGGTCTCCTCCACCTCTCTCTCTTCTCCGAGTGCTCAGTCTTCCGTCCTAACTGGCATATGACATCGTGCCCGACCTCATAATAAGCAGAGGTAACTGACCGCTCTTCGGATCCAGACGTTTCCTGCCCGTGTACTAGCAAGACACATGATGCTGAAAAATACTCCCTCCTGTCTACGTCGCCCATCGGGCCCGCCACCGGGGAAGTACGCTAACCAGTTACAGGTCTCCCAGCGTAGCCAGTGACCCGCTCCACAAGCTCGAGCTTGAGGACGGAGACTCCGCCGTCTTAGACATGAGCTGACCTTGTAGATATCGCGCGCTACACTAATGGACCTCACCCGGAATACTTCTCGACCCTCATCCAACTCTTACTTGGAAGGTCGCGACATACCCCAGACATACCTCTTCTCTGGCAACCCGACCCTCCGAGTCCGTTCTAAAAACATCCCCCTCGACGCTATCGCAAATAAACTCAGACTGCTCCAACTTCCAAATTTTCATGATCTCGACGCCATCGAAATGCGCGGCGACAACCGTGCTCACGTCTACGGCCCCCACCAGCGCCTTCCATGCCTATCGCCACACGCAACCCCCACTCAATCTCCATTTGCCTGGAACTCATCAACGGCCCCGTGGGAGCGACGTCCTTTCTACTTCAATGGTCTCACCCGAAGTTTGTGGTGTGGTGACGGCGACGACGCCTCCTTGATGGGTCGTCTATGACGGTGTAGTCGACAGACACCCAGGCCCTTCAAGCTTGTCGCTAAGGCAGCCACCTGTTTTTCCTTCCAAGACCTCCAGGGTGGTTGGCATGGCTCCTATCCCCCCCCCTCGTAGTCAGCGACACCGAGGGTGAGTAGATAAGTATCTTCACGAGTGCAGTTGACTTATGGAAATAATTTATTCGGGCCTCGCCGAACCTTGCTGTGGCGACGCAGTGTGCGCTCTAGAGTTCTAGACCCGCAACTCTCGAACAGATTGAAAATGTTCCACTGTCTCTTAATCTTCTTTGGAAGTTCAACGTTCAACTGTGCTAGCCGATTTGAACGACTGACGGGGACAAAATAGCGACCGGAATCTTGCTATAACGATTCGGCGAGAGTACTTAAGTACTTAAGTAAGTACAAAAAGACCTTCTCTCTGAGTAGCCGACTTGAACAACCGACTGAGGCAAATTGCTGCTAGCCGATTTGAACGACTGACTGGGGCAAAAAAGCGACCGTTATCCTGCCATAGCGACTCGAAGAGAGTACAAAAAAATACTTTCCCTCTAGGTAGCCGACTTGAACGACTGACAGGACAAAAAGCTTCCCGCTAGCCGATTTGAACGACTGACCTCGTCATGTGAATGATTACGTAACCGTGATTACGTGATACTAGTGACGCGCTCTACCAACTGAGCTAAGAGGGACTTGTTTTGAGTGGCACCAACGTCACCAAGATACCTGGCTTTCCATCGCAGCTGATCCTCATCCTGACCATCAACTTTGCCTCTGCATAGAAGCAAGTGAATCTACTTGCATATATGACGCGGGACAACACAGTACAGATAATACAACCATACATAGGAGCCCATCAGTACACTAGTTGTTGCATTCATTGCGCCTTGGTGACCATCTGCACGTACGCGACTGTTCCTTGCCACCAGACCACGAAGCCCAAACCCAATATACCGTGGAGGCCGCCCCACAGGACCTCGGGTGTAAATTTGTATCTAAACGATTACGCGTGAGAGGCAAACTAAGAGGGCAAGTCGAAACAGCTTACGCCTCGAAAAAATCGCCGAGAGACATAGGTATGAAACGAGGAGCCTTGAAGAGGATGGTCGATGCGATGGTATGGTAGATGCAGAGGGAGAGCGCGAGGGCACGCTTTCCGGCCATAAACTCTGCGACAGGGTTACACTCCAGTGTTTCGGGGATGAACGTAGACATACCAGGCAGAGGATAGCAAAGGAGCGAAGCGATGCACGTCGAGATGATGAGGAGGCCATACAACTGCGAAATAGAGAAGCAATGAATGAGCCAGCAACGTATTTGACTCGGTGTAGCCTACCTTCAAAAATACGAGGGCCGTGTTGTTCAACTGCATGAAAGGTAACGTCGCGGGTGCCCATGCTCCTTGAATTCCCAAGGGGATTTCGAGCGCGATATGAAGCAGGAATACGGCAGAGCTAGAGAATCGGCAAGTGTAAGCAGAGTTCTCCGGGACATTTTTAAAAAAACGGCACGCACAGAGGACTTTGACCTGGCTGGGACATGGTGGGCGAAGGCAAGACGTGTCCACAACGCTCGTCAGATGGAACTCCTGAGAGTGCATGGCCGTCAGGGCGGGTCAGGGATAGCGTCGGACCGATGCGATCTTCTCTTATCGGAGCCTTCCACGTGGGTCTCACGTGCGATACTCTCCGATTTTGTCTCTTGCCCGCGATCGGCGCGCACCCATAACGCGGTCATGCTTGCTGCCGCCCTCCGCCTCTCCCAACCTACCCGGAACATCAGAAGACACACTGTAAAGCAGTATACTTGTCGCAGACTCTCCTCTGGAACGAGCAAGGCTGAAAAGCCGTTGGATGACACGTCGGACAAGGCCGTCGCGGGGGACGCTACCCCGGAAATCCCCTCATTGCACCGTCCATTAGGCATTTCCGAACCACCTACCACCGAAGTGAAAACATTTTCACAAAAGGGTCAGGAGTTTCTTGACCGCGACAAGGTCCTCGCGAATAGGCGACATCTGTGAGTCTCCGGCGTGTCCGTCCTAGCTGCTTACCGACTGAGGCGGGTGTATGCGTTTGTCCAGGGTGAAGGAAGCATCGATGGGTTACTTCCATGATCTGCACATGACGCGCGTTCACGGTGGGAAGACGTGGATGGCACCCAGTGTACTCATCCGGGAGGACGTGAGTTCAATCGTTCCGTCCACCCCTGCCTGAGCGGCTAACCGGACGAACAGAAAGCGCTCTGGTTCCCGAATGTCATCGGCACACGTTTAGATAATGGCCTCAAGGCGCACACGGCGCACCTTCTTGCGGGGAAGGTTTCTGTCGTGTCCATGCTTACCACGAAGATATCCGAGGTCCTGCCTTGCGTTCCGTTCTTCAGCTCCCCAAACTGACGCCGAATCGACAGTACCATGCTAGCTCGTATGCAAGCCGTGTTAACGAGCTCTACAAATCGCACCCTGCCTACCAATATGTGCAGATCAACCTGCAGGAGAACGTGCTGAAGTCCCTTCTCGTCAACCTTTTCCTCAGATCTCTTCGCCAGACAATTCCCCTTCATCTCCAGTCGACCTATCTCGTCTCGCGACAAAACATGGTGCTGCAAACACACGCTCTTTCATTGTACGTCTACTGATAGTCGTCAAACAGGAATATGTGCGCGAACAACTGGGCATGGTTAGCAGTCGGATCGGTTACGTTTACCTGGTGGACGAGAAGCAGAAGGTGCGCTGGGCGGCATGTGCCGATGCAAAAAAGGAGGAGGAGGAGGCATTGGTTAGAGGGGTGGGTGTTCTGCTCAAACGCCACAAGGGTGCGCCGACACCGCCCGAAGCCGAGCCGCCATCATAATCGAGCACTTGCCATCCTGCGGGTTGCACAATACTCTGCAGCATACATTCACAGACGAAGACAATTTGTCATCTCAGGCGCTAGCTTGTTATTCCTTGCCCAAATCCCTGTCCCGACGCCCTACAGCACACCCAACTATAAACCTTTCTCAGTCTGCTCTCTGGTGGGCCTTCGGAATCAACGCCCACAATATGAGCAGAAGGCCCATCATTGAAACCAGCCTGCAACAGCACACCCGCAATCAGCACCGGTCCGTAAAGAATATAGGGGAGTCGTACAGCGGCTGCAATGCTCCGATACCTGCGGCAGATGAAATTGCACCTGTCATAAAGGGCAACGCCGCGGAACCAGTCTGTCCAAAGCCTGCAATCCACCCGATGCATCCTGTCAGGAGCCACCGTGGAAGAATGCGCCCGGACTCGTTCATGATAATGGGGTATACGGGACCGAGAAGCATGCCAACAAATGACACCGCTACTGCGTCGCCAATAAGAGAGGGGACGAGCCAGACGATTATTTCGAGGCTGCCGACACGAAATCAATTAACAGCACAGGGTTTGAGAAGGTGATGACTTGCCCGATAGCTAGGAGAATGTACCTGAAGATGATGCGGCGTTCACCAACCTAGGAATCGTCCAGTCAGGCAAGGTAACGACCGGGAAGAGAGAAAGGCAGTACTGACTTTGCGGTTAAGCCAGAGTAAAGCAACTCGGCCAAGTGCGAGACCTGATTACAGGTCAGCTATCGACCAGTGGCTGTGAAGAAGGGACCTCGAAACCTCCGAAGAAGCCAGCAGATATGTAACCAGACGAGGGACCTCCTCCCCGCTTGTCGATGATGAAAGTGACGATCCAACCTGTATACAATCAGCTCGTCGTTAGTTTGCGAAGGCTGATATCACGGACCGCCGATGGTGACCTCTACCCCGACGTATACCAGAGTGAAGAATGCAAGCAGGTGGAGTGCTTTGAGCTTGAAAATCTGACTGTAGTGGTCGTCTTCATTCGCGTCAATCTCGTCACGCTCCTCTGCCGTCGGAACTTCACCAATCTCTGCGAGGCACTCTGCATAGAATGAGTGGTGGTTGTGTGCAAGTGTGCGCACGATTGGACCGACCTTCCTGAGTCTGAAAGCGGAATATGGCTGCGAGGGCGATGGTGTTGGAAAGTGCAACGCCCAAAGAGCACAAATAGTGGAACGACCAATGGGGCAGTTGAGCAAACTGAGTGGCGACAAGAGGGGAGGCCAATGCCCCTGCACCTACGGAAGTGTCGGTCAGATAATTGTTGAAACTGAGAAGAGACACTTACCGTATACAGCATGAAGGACACCCATGAGAGTGGCGCCGTTGGACTTATAGCTGGCGACATAGCCATTGGCTTGTGCGTCCTGAGATGGAACAATCAGATCGATGAACGGTGAATCGACCTGTAGACTGACGCACTTGAAGAGCCAATCCAAACCCATTGATGCCGTATCCAATAACGAACACCGGGAAGGGTGGGGCGGGAGACTGGAAGCAGTATCCGATCGTTTGGGCCAGCGAGCCCAGAACAATGATCTGGGCTATGAATGAGAATAGCACGGGAAAAAAACGGACAGACATACTTTACCGAAGCCTAGCTTTCTTGTTAACCATATATTTGATAGAGAACCGGTAACGAATCCCTGCAATGAACTGTGAGATCCAGAAGCTTGAGAGCGTCTTGGAGCAGAAATAAGCACCCACAATGCAATTCGCAACGAAGATCAGAGATACCACGGCGAAGCCGACCTATAATGGCACGAGGTCGTCGGTCGTTGGATGGAATGCTCAAGGAGAACGGTGTCGTACGTGGTAGACCTCCTGTATGCGGGGGAGAAGAGGACCAGTCGTTCCGTCATTCCACCCAGCGAGGAAGAGAGACCAGCAGAGAGACGCAAATTGCACTTTAGCTAGAAGAGTATTGGTGCGAGGTGGGTGGTCATTTGAATGGGTATCACTATCAGCCGGCTGAGAGCGGTCAGACTTTCGGGAGGTTTCTGCGAGCTCTATTTCGTCTTGGCGGTTGTCATTTTTGACTACAGATACCCTGGACGATAGGTTGTGGATATATGGAGAAGATGATGCATTGATAGAAAGCTCGGGGCCTGTAGCCAGGATATCTGGCGGTGTGAGCATGCGGGAGAGCCTGAGCGAGTTGAAGACAATGCGCGGGCCGAGAAGGTGTGGACGCGTGGGAATCCTACGTGTCCTTCCTTCGAGGCTCTGAATCGCACTCGGTTTCGCATCTGTCCATCTTCCAACATCGCTCATCCTATGGCCGACCCTTCTCAAGAACTTCCGCCTGGTTGGTCTGCTCAGTGGTTTGTTCTCTTCTTTTCTGTTCCGCGCAATAGCTGGATTCACCGTCTGTAGGGACGCGACCAATCAAAGATATCTTTTCGTTGGTCCGTTCCCCGCTTCAATCGTGTTTGCGCCTACACTGATCCTCCTCCTCTAGAGCAAGCGTCGGGTCATGCTCAGTGGGAGCCCCCTGCCGCTGTTGCTCCTTCTACCGGACCCCCGCCTTCCACATCGCCCCCTCCCGCACAACCTCACGGCAAGCGACGCCAGTATGCTGCCGGTCAAACTCAGGCTTACTACGGTGCCGCCGATGGCCTCGCCGCACCTTCCTATGGTTCTCAGCCTGCCCAGATGGGAGCTGCCGGTGCAGCAGGTGGTCAACTCTTTACTCCCGGCCTTGCAGCCGAGAATCAGTTTGCTACGCAGCAGGCTGGCGCCGCAGGGTATTACGGTCAACAACCCGAACCGGACTACATCAACGCGCCAGGGTATGGCCAGCAGCCTCCGATGG